CTACCGACCGCCCAGAGCCCACACTGACCACTGCACTGACTGCCCAGAGCCCCTACTGACCGCCCAGAGCCCCTATTGACCGCCCAAATCCCGCATTGACCGCCCAAATCCCGCACTGACCGCCCAGAGCCCCTATTGACCGCCCAAATCCCGCACTTAAGTTATATATGCACTGCAGTTTGCTTTCCTTAAATGGGCAATGCAAAGTTATTGAAGGACTTAAAGCAACCTGAAGTGGAAAAAAACTAAACTGCCACTGGCATCACACCGCAGGGAGCTGCAACTGCCCCAAATCCCAGGGTGCTCTGCACATGACATCCCAGTTTTTAAGATCAAGGGCCTTCACTATCTTCTAAGCCAGCGGTGCCCATTAGCGAACACTGGTAGATCGCAATCGGCTATGTCCCTTGGGGCTTCTCCTCTGGATCCCCGTTGCTCTCCCCCATCTGTATGCAACGGGGATACGAGGAGAAGTGAAGGAAGCGCTGTAGCCGTTGGCGGGGGGGTGGAGGACAAAGCCGCTGTCACAGCAGCATGGCTGAGCGGTGAGGGGAGAGAGCCGCTCGGCCAGGATCTGACAGCCGGCATCTCTCTCTCTCTCAGCCATGCTGCTGTTACAGCGGCTCCGCCCTCTGCCCCCCCCCCTGCCGGCTGCAGTGCTTCCTTCACTTCTCCTCGGATCCCCACTACATACAGATGGGGGGAGAGCAGAAGTTCCAGGCTGAGCCCCGCTGTGTGCATGGCCGAGTGGCGGAGGATCGGTACATATCAGTGATATGCACCAATCCTCTGTGCAGAGCAAATGCTGGAGCGATCAGCTGATCACTCCAGTGTTTGTAAATAACTGGGGACACATATTACTATGTGTCCCCAGTTATGAATGAACAGGAAGTGCTTTGCATCACTTCCTGTTCATTCATGAGTTTCTCAATGGGGAGTAGCACTCAGTACATAGGCTTCTCCCCATTCAGAAATGGCTTGATAGTAAATATGTTCTGAATGAATGGGAAGGCTCTGTACTTTGCATTCATTTAGAACAGAGGCTGCAGAAAAAGAGATTAATGACTGTGTCCTCAATTTCTTTTTCTATTTTAAAAGGGAGATATCAGGGGGCTGTTTAGACCCCTAATATTTCCCCGAACCCCCCCC